TACAAAACTCTGTATTTTTGTGAAAACAAAACCTATCAGTATCAATATAAAAATGACCATGTTTACCTCTGGTTAATGAGATACGATTTTTATTTTCTTTTATTAAAAAATCTGTTCTTTCACAAGTCTTCTAGTTTGAGCATGTATTTCTTTTGAGAATGAGAAAAGTCATTTAAGTCTTTTTGCAGCTTAGTTTTTTAACCAGTGTTATTGAGGTATAATTTGCAGACAGTAAAGTGCACTGATTTTAAGCCACAGTTCAGTGAGCTTTAAAAGGCATTCAGGACATGGAACATTTCCTTCCATCCCTTAGAAAGCCCCCACCCCCCCGCCTCCCCTCTCCTGAGGAAGCAACCATTGACCTGATCTCTAACACCACAGCTTAGTTTTGCTAGCTCTAGAACTTCACACAAATGGAATGTACAGTAGTACTTTTAAAAATGTGTCTTTTCCCCTTCAACATAATGCTTCTGAGATTTATGTTTTTGTGTCGGTATCTTAGTATTATACTTTTAAAAACGAAGAGTGACGTGTTAAGTGCTTACTGCTTTCCGACCTGCAGAGTGAGATGAGACCCCGTCCACGCAGACGGTAATCCTCCACAGCCCGGAGCCGTCTGCTGCAGGCGGGAGCGCTCTTACCCCGCTACCCCGGGAGGAGACACGACGCCCCCGTCCTGGCTGCCCCTCCCCTGGCGGCAGCGCCAGTCTCAGGTGAGAGCCACCCTGCTTGCTGCCATTGTTCTTCGAGTGACAGCCTCGGGGGCAAATGGAAAGCCGTCAACCTGAGGGCTGTCAACTGCAGACAAGAATTCTTTTCTTTGTCAGGCTGGGTGGTCTCGGTGGCTTCCGCATGGACCTGCACAAAAGATGATAAGCATCGTGTGCTCTTGCTGGAAAACATCGCTGCCACCCAACGACTCTAACCGCACTGCTTTGTAAGGCCCAGAGGAGCCTGTACCTGGCTTCCCTGGGCTGTGAATAAATCCGCAGCTCCCAGCTCAACGAGGGCATCCAGAGGTCGCTTAGTCCATGCCCTCCACCACCCCCCACCCCCACACCCTGGTCCTTGCCACCTGAACGCTTCATGGCTTTTATTTGTCCCAGAATCTTAGTCATAGACAGTCGGAAGGTCCCTTAGGGATGTCGTGGCCAGACCTTCTCGGGTTACAAGAGGGGGTTCCAACCCAAGTTTTGACTTGTCCAATGATCACACACACAGCACAAGGACTAGGGCAAGGACAAAAATCCATGTCCAGTGACCCTTCTCCTTTGGGGCGTTCATTCCAGTACCTACTTCAAGATGTTTTAATTAATAAGTGACCTCCCCAACCCCCATAGTACAATGTAAAGTGTAATTTATAATTATCCGAGCATAAAGGGGTGTGTGTACGAACATACTTGGTGGATCTGCAGCCTGTACAGAAGACTTTCTTCGTTTATGCCCCGGCACCTGAGGCCGGTTTCATTTATAGGGTATTCTGCTGCCATCTAATGGCTGTTAGATGCAACAACTCAGGTGTACCATTTCTAATTTTGAATCCAAAGAACAGGCCTGAAGAGTTTTTTTTTTAAGCACTTGGAAAATCTTCATTTCAGACATGATATATATATATTTTTTTTACCATAAAGGTCTATGGTATACACATGTGTGCAAGTATTATCTACATACCTTCTATTTGAAAACTCGCCAAAATTGTTGCCTAATCTTGATAGAAACTAGAAATAACTAATAATTAAAACAAAAGGTAAGTTAGCTTAACACTGACTTGCCAAAGGGCTGATTCTTGAATAGCTATCATTCACCAGAAGACAAAACACTAGCTATACCATAAGCTTTGGTTACAGCACAACACTCAGTAGGCACTCAGTAATAAACAGAATAAAAAGAATGAATGAAGGTACCCGTAATGTACAGGCCTCTAGATAATTTTAGCTCCATTTTATAGATGAAGAAATTGGTGTTCAAGCTGACTTATCCTGGACTCAAACTCGGTTCTTCATGTTCCTTCATCACTTAGGATCAACATGACTCACCACAGTCCTTACACCTCCAAGGTCCTAGCACCTTCCCCTTAAAAGTTTTGCATGAATGTCTCAAAATGTGCCACACACTTAACCAGAAGAGATGCAGATCTGGGACATCAGTGACTCACCAGGGCCACAAGTCCAGCAAAGCCCGTGCAAGCTGCTCACCGCACTAGGCTGCTGCCTAGGTGCAAAGTCCCCAAGGGAGCCTCTTCCCAGGCAGTTTCCATCTGGGGGAGGAACTGGGAGGCCACATGGTTCCAACCTAGGGGACTGAGGGAAGCTCAGCCTCCCTCTGTTGGGGGGCATAGGTGGGAAAGAGGCTCCATGGGATCAGAGATAAAGAAAACATATTTCCTACCCTTGGGGACCTGACATAGGGACCCAACAGATGCTGTGGAACTGAGCCCTGGGGCGAGTCTATGAGTGAATGAGTGGCCCAGAGAGCAGGGTGAGGACTAATAGCAGAGGATGCATGGGCCAGGGGTGGGCAGGTGGCCAGGTGCACTGCAGAGAGATGGACTTCAGTTTAATTGACAGAGTCCGTTTCTGTTAGTTCAGCAGCCCACAGATAGAGAAGGCTTCTTCCAGGGGAGTAAGCACCATGCCCAGGGTACAGAAGCAGAGTTAAGAGAACTGCAGTGTGAAGGGATTTCAAGCCTGCCTATGTTTCCAAACAGTGGTGTCAACATTTAGAAACTGGGAGATTTCACATAAAACTGCAGATTATGTGCCCCTCTTTTTTTTTTTTTTTTGGTACCAGGGATCGAACTCAGGACCTTGCACTTGAGAGGCAGGCGGCAGCACCACTGAGCTAAATCCCCAGCCCGATCCCCTCTTTAATAAAGCAGATGACTTGTCTACATTGGGCTGGCTGCAGCCTGTCCCTGCCGCCTGCTGCCCTCCTTATTGTCTTCCTAGCACCAAGGGTGATGGGCAGGCACCGTTTGTCCTTGTGCATGTGCTCTTATTTTTCTTACTGTAAAAAAAACCACATTATTTTCTTATCATGTCTTTATCAAAAGAAAAAAAGACCAATAGTCAGGAATGTTAATAATATGGCGTATTTCTTTAAAAATTAAATGGGGCTGGGCATTTAGCTCAGTGGTTCTGCCGCCTGGCTTGCAAGTGTAAGGACTTGAGTTCGATCCCCGGTACCAAAACAAAAAAAAACAAAAAACAAACAAACAAAAAAAAACCAAATAAAAATTAAATAACTACCATGTGACCCAGCAATCCCACTGGCTATATGTCCAAGAGACCAGAGTTTAAGTGTTTTCACCATAAAAATAAGTATATGTGAGCTAACAGGTATGTTAACTAACTTGATTTAGCCATGGCACAATATATGCATTTATCAAAACATCATGTTGTAACCACACATATATGCGATTTTTATTTGTCAGTCAAAGAATATTTAAATAAAAATGTAAAGGGAAGAAAAGAGTATAACAAATTTGTCTGAGGAAGTAAAGAAATTTCTTTACATTTAAAAGGCAAATGCCAACTTGCTCATCTGTTTTCATGATCAGATTGCCCACCTCTGCCTCGCACCTTCTATTTGTGCCTTCTTGTCCCTGCAGCTTGGACTATTGGTCAGACTCTGTCCTGTTGTCACTTTTGTCTTCAACTTCTGAGAGACGGGGGCCACAGGAGTGAGCTATGAATGTTGTCATGGGTGTGATGGCCCTTGAGAAGTCCTGCCCAGTGAGGCCACTTTGAATGTCCCTTTAGTGAGAGCATAAAGGCCCCCCTTCACACCTGTGCCCTTTGCCCCATGGAAGCCTGTTGGCAGTGTGGCACCTTGACCAAGTGTCTTCTGAACTGGCTCCTCTTGCCCTTTCCTAGCTGGTAAGAACTTAGCTCTGCTCTCCCCATCCTGGCCCCCCGACACAGCTCCCCAGTCCCCTGGCTGGTGTCCAGAACTGGCACAAGCTCCGTATGTGGTCCACGTAGCCCAGAGCAGTGCATGAACACCTCCCTGGTCAGACACTCTGCCTTTGCCCTGGCACCTCTGCTCACATCATCTCTTTTTAGAAGTCACATTACACTGTTGGTTCCCACTCAGTTTATAGGACACAAAGGCCTTCAATTGTTATTCCATGAACCATTCTCAAGAGATGCCCACCTAAACTGAAAACCAGACATTGAATGTTGAACATGGTCATTGAAAGCCACTTCCCAAACATGCAGAGAGAGATTCCTTCACTAAATGCCCTCACAGAATTTTTGAGCCAAAATGAAGTTTATATTGATCTCATACATTTTTATGTTTAACTCATTGCTCCAGTCCTCCAAAAATAGGTCTTGATTTTGTTGAGACATATGACTCATCCTTTCCACTTTTATGTCATTCATACATTTGATTAGGACAATTTAAATATTTCCATGTATATTGGTATTACATATTGGTTATCCATACTTCTCCCAAGGTAATTCATTATCACTGTAGAAAATTTATAAAATGCAGAAAGCATAAAAATAATTTAAATTGCCTGTAATCCCAGTACTCTGGGAGCTGAGGGAGGAGGATCACAAGTTTAAGGCCAGCCTGGGTAACTTAACGACTTAGCAAAACCCTGTCTCAAAATAAAAAATTTTTTTTATTTTTATTGTATTTTCCTTTTTATTTAAAAATTTTATTTTTATTAGAACATGTTTACCGTACACAGTGATTACATTAATCATGGAGAGTTGGTACATGTACATAACACATCTTAATTCTTTTTATATCTTCTTCCTCCCTTGATCCATCATCAAAAAAATTTTTTTTGGTACCAGGGATCAAACTCAGGACCTTGCGCTTGCCAGGTAGGCGGCAGCACCACTGAGCTACATCCCTGGCCCCTCAAAACATTCTTTTAAGGGCTGGGGATCTAGCTCAGTGGGAAGGCCTTGGCTTCAATCCATAGTACCATAAAAACAAAAGACACAAGGGCTGGGGATTTAGCTCAGTGGTGCTGCCACCTGCCTCACAAGCACAAGGCCCCAAGTTTGATCCCCAGTACCAAAACAAACAAAAAAACAAAAGACACAAAACAAAATCCTGGGTGCCTAGAATATATTAATGACCAATAATAAAGGACAAATAACCCAATGTAAAAGAGGGCAAAGGACTTGGATAGACATTTCTCCAAAGAAGATATGTGAGGAGTTAACATGTATATGAAAAAATGCTCAACATCATCAATCATTAGGGAAATGCAATTCAAAACTGTAATATGAAAAATACCACTTCCAAGAAAAAAAAAACCCCAAAACAAAAAACCCACTTCCTATCCACTGGGATAGCTATAACAAAAGAGAAGGTAAGTGTTGGTAAATACCCAGGGGAATTAGGACCCTCTTACGCAGCTGGTAGGAAATAATGCAGTCACTTTGGAAAACACCATTGCAGTTCTTAAGAATGTTAAACATAGGGTTGCCGTATGCCTCAGCAGTACCACTTCTGGGTCCATATCTAATAAGAATGACAACATATAGCCATACAAAAACTTGTAAATGGATATTCATAGTATTAGAATAGCAAAAGGGAAAAACAACCCTATCTCCATCAGTGGATGAATAAATAAAATGTGATAGACCCACGCAATGGAATGTTACTTGTCAATAAAAAGAATCAAACATGTACTACAACATGGACGAACCTTTAAAACGTACTCAAAGATGCCAGACACGCACAAAAATTGTATGATTTGATTTATCCAAAAGGTCCAGGGTAGTCAAGTCTAGGGACAGAAAGCAGCAGGCCAGTGGCTGTTGAGGGCTGAGAAGTCTTGAGGGGAAGTGAGGGAGTGGCTGCCTGTGGGTACGAGGCTGCACCTACAGCAATGAGAAAGTTTTAAAGTCCATTAAGGTAATGGCTGTACAACTCTCTGCATATGCTGAAAAAAATTGAATTATACACTTTGAATGGGTAAGTTGTATAGTGTGTGAATTATATCTCAGCAAAGCTGAGAGACACCAACTTTCAGGAGGAATTGTGTGAGTTCTCAGGGTTGTATTTTCACTGACCGGTGGTGGCTGTCATGCCAAACAGCACTGGATTGATAGGTGTCCACTCTGGGCCATCTCTCCTCTGATGCCTGGATTCAACTGGATTCTGTCTCAGGAAGCCAAAGTGCATCTTGTGTCATTTGGATGAAATTGTGAGCACCAGGATAATTCTAAAGAAGATGAAAGATTAGATAATGGGAGTGTTTGGATGACAGAATGAACGGGAAGGGATAGGTCTCAGAAGAGGCAATAATTTATTTCTCCTGAAACATCAGGAAAAGGCCTCAAAGAATAAGGGACAGTAAGGTGATCATAAGTGTTACCAGAAGGAGTCCAGATCAGACTGTAGGGGAATCATGACACTTATTGCTTTATCCCTGGTTCTCAGTCCAGGACTTGGATCAGAGCAGGTGCATAGTAAAGTTTGCTGAATGAATAGCTATACAAATGTAAGACTGAGTGAAGATGTAAACAAAAGAATGCTAAGGAGAGAAAATAATATGGGCAAAGCACAAAAGCAATGGGCACAGAACAGGTTTAGAAAATATAATTTTTGTTTAGTTTGCCTGAAGTATTAAATTTTTGATGAAGATTTATAGAAGGTAAGACATCCCCCCACAAAGGGCTGCTGGAATCAGGTGGTGGGAGCTTAGAATTATCTATGACTGGGAGTCAAAAAATGAAGCATGAGCAGAGGGAAGCCATGGTAAAAGCTGTACTTCAGAAAAATGAACTGTAAGCCCATGTTAGAGGATAGTTTGGAAGTGGCTAGCCTAGAACCTGGGAGACCAGGTTAGAGGGCATTCAAGGAAGAGTTGGGGGGGGGGGGACAGAACTAGGCCAGTAGCAATGGGTCCAGAGAATGGATAGAGGCAGAGACACTGAGCCACTTTCCAGGCATTATGAAAACTGCAAAAACAAGTGCGTCTGGTGATGAATATTTAATCTACTCAATAAGACTATAACTGTTAAAGAGAGCACTTGCCAATAGAATATAAGTGGTTTGTGGTTGGAAGCTGCAACCACACGTGTTATAAAGGTAATTGAAAGGGAAACCCCATTTGGGGTAATAAGAGAACAGGAAACCACAAGCCTATAACCCCATTATGTGGATTGGAGTTCATCCACAGCATAGGGAACCCTGGACCATGTTTATACTCCCTTGGTCCAAGATGGGCAATGATCACCTCAGGACCAGGCCTCAAGTAGAGGTAGATCTGTCTCTGGTCAGCCATGTGAGGTATCAGCAAAGGCCTGTCTACTGACCCCCACCTTGCATTATCAGGTAGAACACTAGTTGAAGAACCAATAGGAAGATTTATTCTTATTTAGAGATTTATAATTTAGTGGTTAAGAATATGGATGCTGGGGCTAGGCTGTTCCTGCTCTGCAATCACTGGCTTATGATCTTGACAAGTTACTTAACATCTCACCTCTGTGTTTTAGTTGTCTCATCTATAAACCGGGACTAGTGAATGCAATCACTGAGCAGTTATGAAGATTACATTAACTAATATATTTTAAATGCTTCAAAAATGCTTTTTATGTATACACTAAACACCATATAAGTGCTTATTGTTATTATTATCATTATTATTGCAATCAATAATGGTCAAAGCCAGAACATATGAAATGGACTGTTCTACAGTAGAGTGTTTCCCAGAGATACCATGGATTCAGCCTTGGACCTTAAGTTTTTGGTGCCACAGAGACAAGCAACTAGGCTTTGCCATTATTCATTCAATTTTTTAATTCCACAAACACTGAGCAGACACTGTGTGTTAGATTCTATGCTAGACCATGGAAAGAATTGGGTGTTCAGGCCATCCCAGGTCTCAAGGATATGCTAATCTAGTAAGGATGGCAGACAGCTGTGGCCTCTGGTGTGCTAAGTCACAGCATCAGCACATGGGTGGTGCAGAGATGGCCAGCGGAAGGGGTCACAGCAGGCTTCCTGAAGGAGGCGCTGAGACGCAGGGCTCTCTGGGCCACACTCGATCTCTGGGAAATGCAGAGTGCGAAGGACCTGCCTTTCCTTCTCTGTGAGGGACAAAGCATGTGGCTGAGAGTGGATAGTCAATTTCCTTGGCTCTGTCCTTAGTTGAATCATTTGGACTCTCCCTGTCTTTACTGCTTTTGGAAAGACAGTCTCGGTGGGTTTTCAAAATGTTTCCTCAATCTCTGTGCACATACATTTTGTTGGGAAAGCTCCACTATAATGTTTTTGGCTCAATCTCTTTATCTTTTGATGCAGGGAGGTTGAGAAGGAGTTTGCCTGGCCAGTCACTGGCAAAAGTGATCATGTTTCCTGGATTACTAAAATCTATGGGGCCTAAGTCAACAGCAGTGGGCTTATTTTTGTTGCTGCACCCTTGTCCCAGAAAGATTCCTCCCATCTTGGTGTATTCCTTCCCACAGATGTTTCCTTGTTGTGAATGACTGGCAGTCATGTTCAGAGTGATCGCATTAAGAGACAGAGCCCCAGTGAATCAGGAGGAAAATAAAAAATAAAAAAGAAAGCCACACACACGTACCATTTACTAGATAATAAAGACAAATTGCATCCACATCCTGTCACCTCAGGCATGATAACATCACTTAAGAGGAGGCCCTTCAGTCAGGAAGCCCTGCCAAATTTCTCATTCCCCTTCCTGGATTCCATTCTTACCTGCCTGCTCTCTTTTAGGCTTTGGTCAGGGCTTTCAATTCTTTCTATCCCTTTCTTAAGTACCCTTCTTTTAGTCAGAATCAGTTAGTCTGGGAGATGGGAGGTACAAAGCAGGAAGATAGATTTGTCACAGATTTTCCCCTGCTGGGAATGGGGAGAGGCAAGATCTCATCTACTGGTTTATTTTCCTTGCCTGTTTTCCTTTTGTGCCCCTGCCAGAATGACTCATTGCTGCTTTGCTCTGGGCAAGCCCCACAACCTCCGTCGCCCGTGGGACCTACTGATCAGGGCATGCACTCTTCCTTTCTCTAAAGAGGGAGTATCTTTTTAGCCTGGTTGAGGCATCAGTTAACAATTCAGATCCAATTACTCGAAACTCACTAACAAAAGTCCTTATGCCAAAGCAGAGGGAGTTAGCCACAAAAGAAGATCAACAGGTTGCCATGAGTTACAAAACCCTGGAGCCTGTGCAGCCCCTGAGCTGTGCTCTGCATCCTCCCATATTTAGGCCGGAATGCATTGTTGGGGAGAAGGTTCTGAGGACTGATTACTCTCAAAAGGTCACCTTGGGGGAAGACTGTTACCTTGTCTCCCAGAAATATTCCACAGTGTCAGGGACTTAGGGACAGGTAGAGTCTATAGAGGTTGCCTAAGGTGCTGGCACTCAAGGTTTGTGGTAAATCTGAATTATGGGGTGGGGCTGGGGTAATGAGGCCTTACAAAATCCTGATGCTCAGATCCCCCTCTGGCTATGACATCAGAACCTATAGGTATGGGGCTTGAGCACCACTGTTTTTTTCCCATGTGCTTCCAAAGCTTAGGCAATTTTAAGAACTTCTGATCTGGACCTTTACAATTCAAAGTGTGGTCTGTGGAGCTGCGACACCATCAGGGAGCTTTCTAGAAATGCACATACTCTGGTCCCACCACAGACCTACTGAATCATAATCTGCATCTTAACAAGATCACTGTGTGACTTCCGTGAGCATGAAAATTTGAGGGGCTGTTACTTTTCTTAAAAGAATGGACAATCTTGGCAACAGTGGGGCCACGTTCTCTCTCTGCAGCTACCAGCTGGAGTTGTGTATAACTGTTGGCCCCTTTAAGAGGAACCTTCACACTCCAGTTTGCCTTAGTTTCACACTTGGTCAGATTCATTAACTTCCATTACCTACCTGGGTCCAGCTGGAATTTGAAGTTTCTATTATTGTAAAATACTCATAAAATAAAATTTACCATCAGCGACATGCAGTGCATTCACAATGTTGTGCAGCAACAATCTAGTTCTAGAACATTTTTATCAGCTCAAAAGGAAACCCCATATCTAATAGGCAGTCCCACACCCACACTTCTCCCTTCAACCCCTGGCAATCAGTAACCTGCTTTTTGTCACGATGGATTTGCTTATTCTGAATATTTCATATAAAAGGAATCATACAATATGTGGCCTTTTGTGAGTGGCTTCTTTCACTTAGTACAATGTTTTCAAAATTCATCCATGTTGTAGCATGTACCATTACCTCATTCTTTTTCATAGCTGAATAATGTCCTATTGAATGGATATACTATCTTTTTACCCATTCATTAGTTAAAAGCCATTTGGGTAGTTTCCAAGTTTTGGTCACTGTGAATAGTTCTGCTGTGAAGATCTGGGTGGAAGTTTTTGTTTGAACACCTGTTTTTAATTCCTTTGGGTATATACCTAGGAGTGAAACTGCTGACTCAGATGGTGATTGTATGTGTAACTTTTTTTTTTTTGGTACTGGGGATGGAACTCGGGACCTTGCACTTGTAAGGCAGGCGCCGGAACCACTAAGCTAAATCTCCAGCCCCATGTATGTGTTACTTTTTAAGGAACAGTCAAATTGTTTTCCACAGCGGCTATATTTTACATTCCTACCACCAACGTAAAAGGGCTCTAACTTCTCCACCTCCTCAGCAACACTTGGTGTTTTCTATTTTTTCATTTTTGGTTCTAGCCATACTAGTGGATAGAAGATGTTATCTTACTATGCTTTTGATTTGGATTTCCCTAATGGCTCATGATGAATATCTGATCTTCATATGGTTGTTGGCCACTTGTATATCTTCTTTGGAAAAATGTGTATTTATGTCATTTGCTTATTTTTTAATAGGACTGTCCTTTCATTGAGTTGGAATAGTTATTTATATATTCTGGATATTAGACCCTTATCAGATATTTTTTGGTTTTTTTGAGGCAGGGTCTCCCTTTGTGGTTCAGGCTGGCCTCAAACTCACAGAGATTCTCCTGCCTACCCCCCCCCCCCACACCCAGTGCTGGGATTATAGGCATGCACTACCACGCCCTGCCCTTATATTTTTTTGGTACCAGAGATCGGACTCGGGACCTTATGCTTGCAAGGCTTTATCAGATATTTAATTTGAAAATACTTCCCCTCATTTTGTGGGTTAACTTTTTTGGTAGTGTTCTTTGGTGCACAGACGTTTATGTCCAATTTAATTAGTTTTAATTAATTTTGTGATACTGGGGATTGAATCCAGGGCCTTCATACTGAGCTACATTTCCAATCCTTTTTTTTTTTTTTTAATTTTGAAACAGGATCTTGCTAAGCCAATAAATTGCCCAAACTAGGCTCAAATTTGTGATCCTCCTGCTTCAGCCTCCCACAGTGCTGGGATTGGAGACCTTTGCCACCAGACCTGGCTCCAATATATTTTTTCTTTTGTTGCTTGTGCTTTTGCTGTCAAGACATGAGACTTTTTCCCTCTGGACGCTATCAGTGAACAAAAAGAGATCTGAGGGGAGAAGGAGTAGAGATGGCTTGAGATTGTTAGCTCAAGTTCAGCCAGAACATCTTAATATATATTTGCTTTTCACAAGGTTCTGCCGCTTTATACATATATATGTAAAATTGTAAATAATGTATAGGCCAATAGATTAGATCGTATTCTCGAGCCAATCATTGAATATTAATGAGAAACCTTAGTGTGTTTGGTTGGTCTTTCTGAAAGCTAGTCCTAGATAGTGCATGAGGTGATTAAAAAGTAGTACTGTATGTTCTGGATTTCAATTTTACATAAGGAAAAAGCAAACATGTTTGCAAAAGCATGCAGTGTTTCTTTTGTTCTTCTACTTGCCACCCTTTTTCGAAGTCAGGTTATTTGGTCCCAGTCCAGCTCTATTGTCTATCTGGCAGCAGCTCATCCACACGTCAGGAAAATTCCCTGGAAAAGATAGCTAACCTCTTGCATGCTAGCTTTAGTACCAGGTACTGTGTTTACCGATAATCTGAACCCAGGTCTTCTCATTTCAAATCTAAGGCTCTGTTCCCTAAGGCATGTGTCCAACATAAAGTTACCTGTTGATCTCTGTAATTGGTACCACTACTATTCACTGCTATCATTGTTTGAAGCTTTCTAAGCGCCAGACATGGTATTGGGAAATTTAATTTTCCTGGAAGTGGCCCCATAATCATTTTATCACCGAAGAAACTGAATTCTGGTTAAACAACTTGCCGAAGATCACACAGATTGCATCAGCTAGGACTTAATCTTTTAGATCTGAACTACTAAGTGAAACTTTTATTTAAAAGATGACCAGGGGCCGGGGATTTAGCTCAGTGGTTCCGCCGCCTGCCTCGCAAGTACAAGGTTCCGAGTTCGACCCCCGGTACAGAAGGAAAAAAAAAAAAAAAAGATGACCAGACCTTAAAACAACACCTAACCACACACTCTGCGCCCACGTTACAAGTGAACAGCCAGGTAGGACCCGTTTCGGCGCAGGCCGACTCCGGACTCCGCCCCACTTCCGGCCCGCCCCCTCAACTGCGACAGCTCCCTGAAGCCGCGGACTGTGCCCGCACCTCGGACAGCGGTGGGCTCAGTCTAGCGCGGAGGGATAGGCTGGAGATGGCGGCAGCCGAGGCGGCATCACCGGAGCCCGCGACGGCATCACCGGAGCCCGCGGCTTCAGAGCAGTCAGTGGAGATGCCTGCGTCGGTGCGCGCGAGCATTGAGAGGAAGCGGCAGCGGGCGCTAATGCTGCGCCAGGCCCGGCTAGCGGCCCGGCCCTACCCGGCGACGGCGGCTACTGGAGGTTTGGGCTCTGGCGGCGTGTCCCCTCCCCCCACTTCCTGGTCGCGGAGGGCTCGCGCTGCCGCTGGCGCCAGGTCCTCGGTGCGCGCACATCCTGTCCAGCCCGGGAGAAACCCGTCCCACGGGCCTGATGGAGCGTCCGGTCCGGCCGCAGGGTAGTTCCGCATTGGAACCCAGGCCCCTGATTCCCGGGTTCCGCCTGGGTAGCAGCTGCCCCCGCAGGGGATGCCAGCCAGTGCCTATCAGCGCCTCGTTTTTCCAGACCTTCCCTTTTTGTCCTCAGCCTGCTGTGCTTCTACCAGCCCCAAGGGTGGTTCTCGTGCAAATCTTTTAGAGACCCATGACTCAGTTAAATAATAAGCTTCCACACTCCCTGGTTCATCCACCCACCGAAATAAGCCTGAGTGGCCCTCTTCCGTGGGCGAAGGAGACAGCTAAGAGACGTGAGCCACTGCCCTCTTGTGGCTAAAGGAGTAACTTCTAATGCCCCAAACTTTCCAGTTGGAGTCTCACAGCCTTCCTGGAAAATAAAAAAGGCAGAGTTTGGTTTCTTTGTTTTACTGATATGGTAGCTGAGACCCGAAAAGGAAAAGGATTTACCCTGGTTCTGGTGCACAAGTTCCTCACGACCTCAGGGTATCTGACAGTGGGTTCGAGTTCTTTCCTTGCCCACAGGTACCTCTGCTATAATAGATGTGTTTATTACCTTTAGGAAGAAAGAATTATTTTTGTAAGAGCTAGATTTCATCAGCCCCCTTTCTTAAGGCAACCCTTAGCTCCTGTCATTTAAAAAAAATCTGTCAATCATATGTCTGTTGGCATTACTCTTGGAAGTAATTCATTCCAATTTTGCCTGCAAATTTATACGACTGTTCCCTCTTCTCCATTCTTATTTTTGCCTCATATCTTGTTTCCTTTGATTGTTGCATTAGCTTCCTAGTTTTTTCTTTGAATGTCAGTATGCCTAACACATAAATCTTTTCTTTTCCTATTTGAAACCCTTCCAAAGTTTTTCATTGTCCCCATGATAAACTCTAAGCTCTTTGACGTCACCTGATTCCTCTGTATTTCTTCAGACTTCTTTTTTCCCCCTCATTAGTAACCCAGTTCCTCACCTTTCCAACAAGTGTATTGTTCTGTCCCTCTGTGCCTTGTGGAACCCTCAGCTTGTGTGATTTCTTCACGATAGTTGAGGCTTCTTGATGCAGATACCTTGGTCTTGTGTCTTGTTCTCTATCTCAAGCCCCTAACACAAGCATGTTACTAATTGGTGCTCAAGTCCTTCTTGGCTGGATGAAAGGTGGGAATGCCTCTGCCCTTCAGTCTCATCTCCGATACATCCTCTCCTCCAACAGAGTGGTCCTTGCAGTGACCCACTCTTAAACAACTGCCTGTTTATTTTGCAGCAGTATACAATTTAAAACTTCCTTTTATAGTTGCCATTGGATTTGCTCTGTTGATACTGACTGGAAACTTTTATCCTTAACTGTGTATGGGCAGAGAATCTGCTTGCAACTAAATCAAGGTTAAAGAAGTTTGCTAAGACATTTGAAAAGCCTGTGTAGTGCTTTGTAGTGTGTGATGTGATTTTCATTGATCATAATACAGAAATACATAAAAAGAATCAAAGCGTCTGGCTTCTTTTGCTCAACGTAATATCTGAGAGATTCATCCATTTTGTTGCATGTGTCAGTAGTTTATTAATATGTTGTATAATATAATTTTGTATTACACCACAATTTTTCCATTTTGTTTTTGGATCATTTCCAGTTTGGAACTATAATGAATAAATCCTCGGAGAGCCTTCTTGTATGTATATTTTAGTGGACATACAAGCATATGAGCAATGATCAGAAAATGCAGTGAATGTTTTAAGTTAAAACATTAGTACAGTTAAAGACACATTGTTGTTAATCCCTCTCAAAATAGTCCCCCTTGCTTTGAACACACTTACCCTTCTTGGCAATATGTCTTTTACTATAGTAAGTTTAAAAACTATTCATCACATTTTTTATCATTTCTTATATATACTTATGTCTGTTGAGTATGTATTAAAGATGGAACTGCTGGGCTATAGAGCAGTTCATGTTCACCTTTTGTAGATACTGCCAAACAGTGACTTTATCAGTTTACAGTCTCACCAGCAGCATAGGACAGTCTCGATTGCTTCACATCCATACTATTTGGTATTATTAGTCTTTTTCATTTCATCTCATTCATTTACTTTTTTTTTTTTGGTACCGGGGATCGAACTCAGGTCCTTGCGCTTGCGCAGTAGGCGGCAAAACCACTGAGCTAAATCCCCGGCCCTCATTTATTTACTTTTAAACATTGTGGTGGAAGCGTAGTGATATTTCATTGTGGTTTTAATTTGTGTTTTTCCAGGGATTGATGATGAGCAGCTTTTCATATGCATTCACATATCCTTGTGTCTGAGGTGCCTATTTTTTTTTCTAAGTTGAGTTATTTGTATTGGGTCTCATATTCTAGATATGAGTCCTTGGTCAGACATTTTGCAAAAGTCTTAGTTTGCTTCCTGTCATTATCGTAATGGTATCTTGATGAATAGAAGTCCTTAATTTTTATCAAGTCCAGTTTAGCGTATTTTCTCTTATGGTTAGTACTTTTACAAGTACCACATGCTAACCGATTGCAGCACTGGAGCACCTGGTTAGTACTTTTTTTGTTCTGTTTAAGAAGCTTTTGGGCTACCTCAAATTCATGAAGTTACTTTCCTGTGTTTTCATCTAGAGCAATGATGGCGAATCTTTTAGAGCTTTCAATGATGTAAACAGTCTGCTGTGGCACATGTACCATAGGTTAGCCACCACTGGTCCAGGGGCTTTATTGTTTCACCTTTCAAATTCAAGACTGTGATCTGTTTTAAAGTTTTTTTATGTGTGGGTCTTATATGAGGTCGATTCAAAGTTCATTTATTGAAAAGACCATCTTTTTCTGACTGTATTGCAGTAGCACCTTCATTGTAAATCCCAGTACCACTTATCTTTTTCCCACTGAATTACCTTGGAGCCTTTCATAAATTAAGTGGCAAATACATGTAGGTCTATTTCAGGACTCTCTTTTGTTCCACTGGTCTATTTATCTTTGTGTCAATAACTCAGCATTTTAAGGTTTAAAGTAAGTCTGGTTATATAAATACTCCAGTTTTCTTTTTCAAGATTATCTTGGCTACTCTTAAGTTCTATTCACATATAAATGTTAGAATCAGATTATCAGCATCCCCTCTCCCGCACACATGCCCTACTTTTGGGGATTTGATTGGGATCACTTTGACTCTTTAGATAAATTTGGGGAAGAATTGACATTTTTACAATACATTGAGTGTCAAAATCCATATATGGTATATTTATCCATTTATTTAGGTTATCTTTGATTTCTTTTAGTATTCTGAGGTTTTCAGTATAGAGATTTATACATCTCTTCTGAGGTCATTGTTAGCTCTTCTGATTGTAGATTCCTGTGGATATTTTATGTACATAATCACATTATCTCCAAATGAATACCATTTTACTTCTTTTTTCCAGCTTTTGCGCTTTTTTGGTTTTCTTGCCATTTTGTACTAGTAGGGACCTTCCATAAAATGTTGGATAGAAGTGGTGATACTGATATCTTTGTTATCTTACTTACCTTTTCATCACTGAGGTATAATACCCAGCACTCACTATTTAAAGGAGGAAAGGCTTATTTTGGCTCACAGTTTGTAGAGGTTTCAGTCCATAGTCTGCTGGCTCCAATGCAGAACGGCATGGCAGAGAGGCATGGCATACGAAAAGTACCTTCATGGCATAGTGGCAGGAAACAGAGTGAGAGATCAAGGGAGGAAGGAGATGTACCTTTCCAGGCCATGCCTCTACTGACTCACCTCCTCCAACATCACATTTAGCTATAAACTCATCAGTGGACTAATCCTCTGATGAGTATCACACTCCCCTAGTCCAGTCACCTCCCCAAAGCCCCTTTGGGGGGACATCTAGATAAAAAACATAACATTTGTATTATTTGATAAGTAGCAAATTTGAAGAAAGTACGTGTTTATGCATAAGAGAACATATGGATTTACCTAGTTCAGTTGATGACCACTTCTATTTACTTTTTCTAGGGATGACAAATGTAAAAGGAGCCCCCAAAATAATTGATACAGGAGGGGGCTTTATTTTGGAAGAGGAAGAAGAAGAAGAACATAAAATTGGAAACATTGTTCATCAACCAGGTAAAGTGTGAGTTTTTCAGAAATGGGTGTCTAGATTGGTGTCTAAATTTATAATGGAGGTGGTACTACAATACAATCAGGAAAAGATGGTCTTTTCAATAACATGCATAATTCTTTGCAAATTGATGTTAACACCACAGTTACTCTAACCAGTGAGCAAATTAAAATAAGACTGATAATGTTTGGTGGTTTTGTTAGTAAATTAAAGGAAAAAGTCAAAGGAAACACTTTTACATATGGAAATAATTATTTAACTTTTGATGTTTATGTTCTCTGTTGTTTTATAATCGGTAGGGATAGCCAGTATATTGAGGGATAGAATAAATACTCAGAATTATCTGATAAACTCAGGCAAACTTGTGGTCCCAGCTACTCCAGAGACTGAGGCAGGAGGTCAAGAACAGCTTGGGTAATATGGTGAGACCCCATCTTCCAAACAAAAAGAAACAAGAAAATTATCTTGGTCAGATGAAATGAGGGGCCAGAATCCCAAGAGATAAAATTGAAGACATTCAGGGCTGGGGATTTAGATCAGTGGTGCAATGTCTGCCTCTCGAGTGCAAGGTCCAGGGTTTGATCCCTGGTACCAAAAAAAAAAAAAAAAAATTTAAGACACTCTTTGATTTATGTTTGGAGAAAAAAATATTTACAAAAGATAGACGTAGGATAAAAAGATATAAATCTATTATGTAAGGTTAATGCTTTGGTAAGTCAATTATATATGGGTTATGATTGAAAGATACAGTGAATATTTAAATTAAAACATTACAGTAAAAGACACATTGCCATTAATCTCCCTCAAAATACTCTCCTCAGTTCAGATACACATCTCGTCATTCTTGCTAGTTTCTGAAGCAGCTGTAGAAGTCCTCTTTAATGACTACCTTTAGTTGCACTGTTGTAGCTGCTTTGTTGTCCTTAATTGATTCAAAACATCTACCTTTAATCGTCATTTTGACTTTGTGGAAGAGCTAGAGTTTCACAGTGCCAGATCCTGTGAATAAGGTGCACGAGGGCACACCATAATGTTTTTTTACAAGCCTGCCTTTCCATTGGGTGGGACTAGGAAGCAGCATTCACTGTATTTTTTGGTTTTTTTATCACACCATGTAGACACTCATGAAAGAGGATTTCTAGAACTGCTTTAGAAGGTGGCAAGAATGATGGGATAAATGTGTGTGAAATGGGCCAGTATTTTGAGATGGAGATTAATGGGATTGAGTCTTTTACTATAACATTTTTAGAAATTTAAATATTCACTGTATATTTTTATCACAGCTCACATACGTGTAGCCTCAGGGTGAGGATATTTTCACACTTTGAGAGAGATAAAAAAGGTTTATTTGATCCTAAGTTTGACAGCAAAGAGTGAACATAATGGCTTAACAAACCTTGTCCATTCTTTAGCCACAACAGCAGAAGTATGTATTCACCAAGGTAGCAGATAGCCCTGTCCTCTTCTTTGTGTGTGTCTAAAGTATTGTTTTCAGAAGTTGACGCTTGAAGGATTAAAATATTTGAGCTAATTTTAAGTGTCATAGTTTCAGAGGGATAGAGGCAAGTATATAGAGTTTGGTAAGTGATCATAGGTAAGTAAGGTGATCAAAATGGGATGTTGACTTTGACATGTAAGGACCAATTGTCAAAACTGGTTAGGTTTATCTTGGAAACTACTTCCAGCTGCTTGCAAATGCTAGATGTATTTCCCTGGGGTAGAAATACTACACTTACTCTGACTTTCTTTGGAAGAAAGAATTGAAATGATGGGTGACAGAAAGGTTTCAGCTCATTGTAATAAAGGTGTACCTGGCATAGATTTAGTACTTGTCACTTACAGAGTGTTGGTATATACATCACGTAAGCTCACGGTGATTCTGAAATAAGGAAACTTCCCAACTTTGTGGACTGCTGCTGCCTAATAGTAAAACATTAGAGGGATTCAGAAATTGAAAGACTACGAGTACCACTCAACTGTGATATTGTGAAGAAGCAGCTCTGCATTAGGAGGGAATGTATTCAATGAAAGGCCTTTAAATCCCTATGATTTTGTGGATATTGAAGACTCAAGGTGACTGTTTTTGTAGATTACTAAATCTACCATGAGCTATGAAGTCTATGTTTGCATTTAGTAGGTCATTAAGCAAATATTTATTGAGAACTTACTATGGTGCCTTGACTACGATATGTGCGTAGCTGCCTCATCACTGCTACTCACGTAGTGATGTTGAGCTACGGCTTGCCCATAGAACACTGGTAGTGAATTAGTGCAAATTAGACAAAGTGTCCCCTTTGAGTAACAATTAGAAAAGTTCCACTTCCTTGGGGACAACATAGGCTGGCCCAGGACCCATTTTGGCTCCCCTTTCCTCTGTGGCCAGATGCCTTTGCAAAGGGGCTACATGTGCACCTTTATGTGGCTGAGTGACAGGGTAAAGAAAAGAGGAGTGAAAGACGGGCGTGTATCACACACCTTGATCCCAGCTCTCAGGAGGCTGATGCAGGAGGATCATCATGAGTTGGAGGCCAGCCTGAACTACATACTAGTGAGACCCTGTCTCAAGAAAGAAACAGACAACAAAAGAGGAACAATTAATACTTTCTACTACTTTTTCATTGTTAATTTTGAAAGCTAGTCTGTTTCTCTAGCATAACAGAAAAATAAGAATTGTTTATTTAGGTCAATTAAGTTTTGCTTCTTGTAAAGTAAAGCCTAGCAAATACTTTTAGGGAAGAACAATATTTCATCAGAATTACCAGGAAGGTTTTGTTAAAATGGGTTGCTAGGCTCCACCCTGAGAATGCTTTTGAGTTAGTGGGTCTAAGGTGGGGCCAAGAACTTATTTCTGGCTGGGCATGGTGGCACATGCCTGTAGTCCCAGCCAGCTCTCAGGAGGCTGAGGCAGAAGGATCACTGGGAATTTGAGGCCAGCCTGGGCTACATAGTGAGACTTTGTCTCAAAAAAAAACAACCAAAAAACTTGTTTCTGAGCAGTTCCAAGTTGAAGCTGCTGCTGCTGACCCAGGGCCACAGCCTCAGTTGAAATGCGCTCCACATAGGGACAGTGACTACATGGAGAGAACATGTGTAACAGTGATATCAGTCGCTGTTCAAGTTATCTCTTTTGTTTTAATGTATGGTAAAATATATATAACACAGTTTTACCATTTTAACTGTTTTAAAGTCTGCAGTTCTGTGGTATTAAGTTCATTCACTTTGCTGAGCACAGTCACCATGATCCATCTCCAGAACTTTTTCTTCTTCCAAAACTGTAACTCTGTACCTATTAAATACTAACTCCTCAGACAGTTAACAATTTCATGTATTTCCTGTGAGGCTTTTTTTTTTTGGTACCAAGGATCAAACCCGGAACCTTTGGGCCTGGTTAGTACTTGGATGGGAGGCTATTTTGATATGTGAATGAGAATGTAATATTTTCTTTTATAAAACTGCTGTTGAAGCCAGGTCTGGTGCAAGCCCATAATCCCAGCACTCTAGGAGTCCGAGACAGGAAAATGACAGGTTTGAGGCTACCCTGGGCAGTTTAGGAAGACCCTGTGTCAAAAAGGGCAGGACTGGGGATGTTGCTCATTGCAAAGGCCCTGGGTTCAGTCCAGACAGAGTACCACCAATAAAGAAAAGAAATTGTTGAAGCTGGGTACAGTGGTGCACGCCTGTGATCCCAGGTACTGGGTAGGCGGAGGCAGGAGGACTGCAAGTTCGAGGCCAATCTGAGTAACTCTGTGAGGCCCTATCTAAAAAAAAAATAAAAGGAGCAGTGGGATATTGACAATCATTCTTGTCTTAGAGGTAAGTAAAGGAAGGTAGTTATAGGAATATGTAGAAGAGGCAACAAGGGTCAACTTTCTTCCCACTGGAAATCATGGCAGTTCTCAGGATGGGGCCTCACTGTAGCAATCATCGTAAAGCAGTGGTGGCAAACCTTTTACAGCTTTCAGTCATAACAGTCTGCTCCAGCACATATGTGATAGCTTCACCACCACTGTCCTAAAGACTTACGTTTAGGTGTGCCAGAACTAATTCGTAAAGGATTAAGATCCTAGCAAGGCATTTCAAGACTATTAAAAAAGTCTCGCTTTTCCCTTGTGTAGAGATGTTTCTGTGCTGGGTGTTGAGGGTACGTGGCCAAATAGGCTGTCTCCCCTCGAGGAGTTTATAATCCAGTAGTTGAGACTACATAAAGAGGGAATTTTTGGGCCGGGGATTTAGCTCAGTGGTTTCGCCGCCTGCTGCGCAAGTGCAAGGACCCGAGTTTGATCCCTGGTACCAAAAAAAAGAGGGAATTTTTACTCTGTGAGCATGGGGTGGAATGGAGGGAAAAATAATTTTCCCATTTAGAAGTGAGTTCTGTATTGACTCTTTTCTGTTGGCTTGTTCTTTGTTGTTCTTGTTATTTGTTGTTACCCTGTCTCTGCTGTCATAAGCAAATTCCTTCCCTCTCTCCCACTTCAGGACTAACCTTCAGTACTTCCTGAAGTACTAACTTCAGGACTGACCTGAAGTACTTCCAATATTGTAGTAAGCAAAATGATGGCCCCTAAAGATATCCACAGTCCAGTCACCCTGGAGACTATGAATATTCTTAATTAGAGCAAAAGAGACTCTGCAAGTACAATTAAAGACCTTGAGAGGGGAGATTATTCTGGATAATCCAGAGGCCTGATGTAATCAGAGGGCTCCTGGAGGGCACATGGTTATGGAAGGAGTGAGCAACGTGATGTGAGAAGTGCTGTTGCTGGCTTCGAAGCGGGAGGAAGGAGGTCCAGGCCAAGAAATGTGGGTGGCCTCTAGGAGCTGGAAATGTGCTGAGTCTCCAGAAAGGGCCAGCCCTGTACACATCTTGATTTTGACCCACTGAGCCCGTCAGACTGCTAAAATGAGATGTTATTTTAAACCATTCAAGTCATGATCATTTCCACAGCAGCGGTGTGACACTAACACTAGTACTGTGCGCGTGGTTGGAGTTCAGAAATACTTGATGCATTGATAGTTTTTTTTTTCCCTCATGTTACTTTAGTTTTTTCTCTTAAAGATTAGTTTTAGACAGGAGGTTATTTAACCAACATTTTATTTTGTCTCTTAACTAAAGATATTTGTGTCTGGCATAAAATACACAATGATAAGCTAGTAAAATAGAGAAAAATACATTGTTCTAGTCACAGAAAAGAAAACTTAAGGAATTTATCTTTCTCTTTTTAGGACCAGTTATGGAATTTGATTATACAATATGTGAAGAATGTGGAAAAGAATTTATGGATTCCTATCTTATGAATCACTTTGATTTGGCAACTTGTGATAACTGCAGGTACTTATTTTTACGTGCTCACTTTGGCAGCACATATACTTATTTATTTTCAGAAGTGTTCTTAATTACTAAAATTTAATGTTTATGTATAAGTTTAAGGCAAAACAGTGATTGCACATGTTTGCATTTGATATTTTCTTATGATTTTTATTTTGCATGTTTCCTAAAATTTCTATGGTTTCTATTTTGTCAAAGAAATACAGGAAGCCTATGCTTATCAAAGTTTATGATATGCCCCACACAAAACAAAGTGTATCCCTGGTTCTGCCATAGAAATATCCTTTTCTGTTGCCCAGGGTTTTTTCCCCCATCTCACAGTAGCAGGTTCCTAACTCTTGTCTTCCCTAGCCCCAAGGGTCCCCTTGTTACTTCTTACTTATCCAACGTATAGACACCTTGGTCAGAAAATGGGGTCTTTAGTGAAGGGAGGGGAGCTCAGAACACTTCTTTCACCTTTTGTTCCTCACATAAAGAGAATAGGTGGGGGAAAATCACACTCTTCTGTTTATTCTTTTTCTTGTCTTAACCTTTTATCCCCTTTTTATATCACCCCAGAATTCTCCTTCTCATTCCATGTGGTTCTCCTATTTCTGCTGTTTATTCAGCTAAGTCTATTGTTAGTATATTTCACATACTGTTTTTGTTTAAACATAATTAGGAACACAGGCATCCATTCTGTTTCCTTTCAACATCTTTGAAGATTAGGATGTTAATACAGAGTAGTCTACTTGTCTCTCCCTTCATTTATACTTTTCAGTCATGTAGCTTTCTTAAGGTTAATCCCAACCTTAGGTAGGTTTTGTGATAGAATCCTCTGAAAGAACCTTTGATTTCTTTCCTCCCAGCTTATGTTAGTGACCTCTTTAGTGTTTAGTGTTCATAAAGCCTGGCTTCGTTCATTGGCTGCAACTCTACTGTTCTGTGTGTAATTCCAAGCCCATTAAACTTTGTGTTCAAGCCATAGCCTGAATCCATCCACTTCTCACCTCTCTCCCACTACTGCATTAGTCTAAGTCACCATTTCTGGGCCCACTGCAGTATTCTCTGTCCATCCTCTCCACTTTTCACCCTAGAGTCTCCATACAACAATTTGATTAAGACTTTTTAAGTGGTTTCTGATTCCTTTTAGAATAGGATTGTCTTCACCACTGCCCACAAAGCCCCTGTGTGTCTGTCCCTTCCACCCCTCACCATCATTTGAGTGTCTTGTTACACCAGCGCTTTGTAAGCTCCAGGTGCAAAGTAGGCTCCTGCCCTCAAGCCTTTGCAGAGGTTCCATCTGCCAGGAAGGTTTTCTTTGCCGTTGAGACTTCTTCAGGCCTCTGCTCAGATGACTATACTCAGTGCCCTCTGATTACCCTCGTATCTGAAAATTTCTCTTCCTTCACAGAGTTCTATATTCTTAAAGCAATTTGACCTGTCATAATATTTGTTTATTGACTGTCTTCTTCTAATTAGAATGAAAGCCTCATGAAAATGAGGCTTTATTTATTCCTCATTAAAAACAGGGCTGTATTCTCAGTGCCTTGAACAGATGACATACAGATGGAGAGTAAATGGATGGAAAGAATTGTGTAATTGACTCTGTCTCCATTTTAACTTAGCTGTTGGGAACACTCAGATGCAGTTGGAAATTTAGCTATGTTGAGATTGGCATTTGCATGGTTTATATTTCTTATTTCTTGCCCATCTTGCCCTTCTGCTTTTACATTTTCTCATTGATTCATTGCTCTCATTTATATTTTCTCTACTCCCACTGAGTAAATCCCTGGCTTTTCGACTCTTATAAATCATTTCAAATTTCTTCTGAAATACGACTTTTAAAGAAATTCTTAGAGTGTTAATGCCACGGGTCTGTTGCTAACTTAACTTCTTAGAATAAGTGAAAGATAAAGTACTTTTCTTTAGAATTTTTATGCTACTAATTTGAACCTGAGAGTTGAGCTAGGAAAAAGCGTTTTGTATCTCTTTGAGAGTTTTATCCCCTTTGGTTGTTGGACTGTTTGAAAGCTTAGTTTGTTTAAAATAACTGATATAATGGACTTAATCTCTTTTCAGAGATCCTGATGAGAAACATAAGCTTATTACCAAAACAGAAGCAAAGCAAGAATACCTTCTAAAAGACTGTGATCTAGAAAAAAGAGAACCAGCTCTTAAATTTATTGTGAAGAAGAATCCTCATCATTCACAGTGGGGTGATATGAAACTCTACTTAAAACTACAGGTCTCTAATAAGTTGTATTCATGAATTTTGGACTTTGGCTTAGGTGAATTTTAAATGATAAATTAGTTATAATTAGTTCCATATTTGCTTACAGAGAGGGAAAAGGATTCTTTTCTTTTTGAACATGCTGATGTTTGTGCATATGGAATGACATTTCATAACACAATATTTTCTCATTTTGCTTTTTTGCTGTGGCATTTTGAGACAAATACGTTGCTGGTGAGTGGTATTAGGAGTACAACTCTGGGGGAAATATTACTTTTTTTTTTTGTTACTGGGGATCAAACCCAGGACCTTGCACTTGTGAAGCAGGCGGTGGAACCACTGAGCTAAATCCCTGGTGAGGAGTACAACTCTGAAACTAAAAAATTTTAGAATAGGAGTCAGATGTTATTCCCCTTTCTCTCTATCTCCTCCCAACCAACCAACCAACAAAAAGTTGGACCCCAGAAAAATAAAAAACTAAAGAAATCTTTAAAAATACTTAAATTTCAGAAACTTCAAAAATGCCTAAAATCTGTCTGTTTTGGGAAATATTGTCAAGCATCTGTGTAACTCCAGTGTATCTCAGAGCAGAGCTTCACAGCTGTTCTTGCTGTGAATGAGTTACAGGTGTGCCAAGATAATTATCCACTTAGTGACTGGGGCTACTGGTGCCCAGAGCCACCGTCAGTCTTCTGTGTCCACTCCAGAGTGGTTTGAATATTGCAGTTTTCATTCTTGCACCATTACATCCAAATATTGGGAGCTATTGCTTTAGAACACAGTTTGAATTGGAATATGCTAGAAAATCTCCCATCTTTTAATAAAATTAAGAAGCCACATTGTGAAACATAATACTGTATGAACTGAATTTCATTAAATATAAAACTGCCAGTTAGGTTTACCTTTTGCCAGGCATGGTGACACATACCTGTTATGCCAGGTACTTGAAAGACTTAGGGATGAGGATCGGACTTTTGAGGCTAGCCTGGGAAACATAGCAAGCCTGTGTCTCAAAATAAAAAATTAAAAAGGCTGGGCATGTAGCTCAGTGTTCCCTAGGTTCATTCCTCAGGACTAAAGGAAAAATAAAAAGATTTCACCATTTATTTCCTGTACCATTAAAAATGAGAAAAATGCTGTGAATTAAACCAGCCCAGGTTTTGTTATCGCTTGGTGTTTTTTACACTTATTAAAACAGTACCATTAGATTTCATTAATAGTTTTGTGGTATACTGTATCATGTTCATACATACATAAGGAAAATGCAAGTGTAAAAAGAGTAAGTTATTCTTAAACTTTTTACATTTACTCCAATTCTTCTAAACTATGTTTTGACTTACCATTGTTTAAGTACCCTTAAACACATTAGTAATGCAACATTTCCAGGGATGCTACATTGTGAAAAGTGTGATGTTTTAGAATTTGTGAAATACAGATATATCACTTTATTATGTTAAGGAACTTGAGTTTGGCTACACCGATTGATATTTTGGTTTCCTTAACATGAGAAGTATTCTTATTGTGTAACTTTTCTTAGAGTAAAGGTATATAATCCAAAGTTTTGAAACTAGAATAAAGACTTTTTAGGTCACTTAGGTACTAAAGTTTGGCTTTTTAAAAAAAATTCATATTCTATAAATCAGAAGTTAGTCAATGGATAGAAACAGTTGTTGATCCACGAGGAGATGAAAAATAGTAACTGGTGGTTTTCTTGGTTGGAGATTTTTGGAGGTGGCCTCACATTTAGGTCTGATGTGGCTAATCTGTCAACACACTTCTTTGGTGAGCTGAGAATTCATCAAGCCCACTGATCCTGTTTCCTTCTGTGGATCCTTCTATATTCTGACAGTGGTATGGTCAGAGGACAGCTTGTCTATAAATACTGTATACTGGTATTCACCATACATTACTGAGGGTTGCTAGGTTGAGATAGACGTGTTAATATTTTAAATCTTTTAAATTTCAAATTAGTTAAAATTTATACTTGAATTAAATCATTCTTCTTTGGATTTGATAATTACAGTATTTTTCAATTCTGAATCATCAAAACTTAAATGTGGACTGTGTTGTAGATTATGAAGCGGTCTCTTGAAGTTTGGGGAAGTCAGGAAGCACTAGAAGAAGCAAAGGAAGTGAGACAAGAAAACCGAGAAAAAATGAAACAAAAGAAGTTTAATAAAAAAGTAAAAGGTAAGTGGCTACATTTTATGTTGTGAAGGATCACATTTTACCATTTAGCAAAAGCCTTCGCTAATGGATTCTTTCTTGTTAAAGATATAATATCACCAGTTAGTTGAAAGGTGTTTGTTTTTTTTTTCGTAGGTTGAAAATAAAATGACTTAAATTTGCCCTCAGTAGGTTGGGGTTTGAGGCTCTCAGTCCAAACCTCACAACAGTGCATTTCTAAAGAGCATATAAGCCAGGTGTTGTGGTAGACTCCTGTAATCCCAGCACTCAGGAGGCCGAGGCAGGAGAATCACTGCAAGTTCAAGAGTAGACTGGGCAACATGGAGAGTTCAAGACCAACGTGAACTGCATGGTGAAACTGTCTCAAAAAAACAAAAAAGAGGATGTAAACCATATCTTAAAGTATCATATTTACATATAGGAACAGGGTTAGGTCAAAGTCAATAGTGGTGTCTCTGGTCAAGGATTTACTATCAGTTAGATCTTAAGTAGGATCAGTAGTGTTTTGTTTTTTTTTTAAACAGATACCTGCAAAACTCTCTAGTTGCTTAAAATGAAAACCAGACAACAATAACAAGAACAAAAACACTGCACCCTAAGTCTTATCTAATTTAGCAGCTTGAGAGAACTTTCTGATATTAGCTAGTCTGATCACTTTTATTTTATATGTGACTAAAACACCCATTAATGTGGGGTGGCTTGTTACATGAATAGGGAGTGGAACCAGGCTTTCTTGACTGAAAGTCTTCATTTGCACAGTCATTCTTCTATGCATCTGTCTCTGCATGCAATTCTCCATTCCCTTGTTTATCTCTGCATTCATTTGACCATCTGCCCTTCCATCCAGTCATGATTATTTGTTTGGGCCAGGCGCTGTGCTAACATAAATGCTGGGGTCACCATTTGTCAAGAGAGAAACTCAAATCATACTGGATGGGTACTGTGGTAATGATGAACTGCAGGAGCACACAGGACTCTTCCTCCTCTAAAACAGAAGCCCTAAGATGAGTCTTTAAGAAGCAAATATAAATCTTTTTTTTTTTTTTTTTTTTAATTTTTTATTCAGACAGAGTCTTGCTAGGTAGTTTAGCCTGGCCTTGAACTCACTGTGGAGCCCAGGCTGTCCTCAAACTCTCAGTGATCCTCCTGCCTCAGCTCCTGAGTACTGGGATCATAGGTGTGCGTCACCATGCTCGGCTACATAAATGTTCTTTATGCAGTAATTATGTGGAGTCCCAGTGTGTCATAGAGTATCTCTATAGACAGCGCATATTTTGTGTATATATAATATATGTATTAAACAGATCCATTTGGAATGAATGTTTAGGCATAATTTTGCTTATGCTTTTAGAATTTATGAGAGGTTTTGGAGGGTGAATGGGATTAACTCAGATGTCTTAAAAACAAAAAGTAAAATCAAAAATTGAATGTAAGCCTTATTGTGAGGGGTTTTTTCTCGCCATTTTTATCATGAGTAATTTAAGAAGAATGTAGAAAAGCCAGAAAACTACAAAGAACTCTTAGCTCATGATTCTACGTAGACACAATCATTAGTAACACTTTTATGTTCTTCCAGTTGTCTCCCATTTTGATTTTTTTAATTTTTGGTTTATTTGAGATAGGATCTCATTTAGTAGCTCAGGGTGGCCTTGAACTCATGATTCTCCTGCCTCAGCCTCCTGAGTGTTGGGATTCAGGCACGTACCACCTTGCCTAGCTAAAAATGTTTTTTTCCTCTTTACAAAATCTTTATAAGACATGAGACAGAGAAAGCTTTGATATCCCACTGAAACTGATATCAGTGGGTGCCATTAAAAATATTACTTACAAAACAAATCAGCACACTTGATCAGGAAGCAAGCAAAGAAGATACATGAAATTATATATGAAGAAGATATATGAAATTATATAGTCACTTTTCAGTTATACTTGTTACTGCCATATTTTGAAATCCTATCATTTTTATAAAAAATTCATTGTTGGCATTTGATGAAGTTTATCAAGACAGATAATCTTATGCAAAACATCTTTATATTCATCATTATACAAATCGTACTTATCAATTCCTAAATCAGAAAGTAAGTATACTTTTAAGGCTTTGTCCAGAGGTTTCCTATAGCCAAACTATGCCATAAAAGAGCATTTCACTTAAAAATACTCCCCAAATTAGCCACTGCTGTGTCACAGTATTCATAGAAATCCACCAGTGTCCAAATGCAAGGATTTGGAAAGGTTTCTTTAAAATAGGCCTTTTCTTTAATCTTTGTAGGGCTCTACAACCAGCCTTTCTTCTCTTCCAACAGCAAGGATTGCTGCTGATAAGGGATAAAGAAAGTACTAAAAAGGCATAGGAAGTGTTGTGAAAGAGGAGAGCGTTGAGGTTAGGCCAGGGTTTCTGTTAACCCAGCTATTTGAAGCCATCTCAGCTCTTCCGTCTCCACTGCCTCAAACTGCTCTTCAGATGGCATTTTGATGTAGATAATAACATGTATAAAAGCATAAGTATTCATTAGAAACATGTCTCTACAAAGTAATGAAATCTTTGTTTAAAAGGAGGGCTAATTTTTTCTTCTACTAATTCTGTGAAATAGTCAAGATGTCATCTAATGGTAACTAAATTCTTATAATTTGTCTAACAGATTAAAAGATTATGAAATCCATCCTATCATGCTTTTTTCTGTAGAGATTCAGTATATATTAAATATCAGTGTGAACATTACTTTTTAAAGATTTACACAGTTATGGGAATTTTTAAAGAAATAAAAATTGAACATAACTGGCTTTCCCCCCTCATTTTATATATATATCTATACGTATATATATCTATACATATATACACACACACACACACATACACATATATAATTTTTTTTTTGGTACCAGGGATCAAACTTGGGACCTTGAGCTTGCAAGGCAGGCAGTGGAACCACTGAGCTAAATCCATGGCCCTACCCCTCATTATATTAAGTAGCTGCTATTAATCACCACATGAACTGTTATAGATTTTTATTATCCTTGTAGGATTGATTTCTGAATTTTAGTTCATTTCTTATTTAAATGAAGCATGCCTTTTGGGGAAACTCATCAAAGTGGTCACACGACTGGTTTATTTTCCAACTCTCTACAATACAAATGCTTTTCTATTTTTTTTGTTTTTCTTTTTGCATATGGCTACACTCATTCTCTCTGGGTTTATGAACATGACTCCATTGTCTTCTGGTATGCAGTTGTGTGGAGAGGTCAATGTGATGCCTTCTTTAATTATGGCTTCTTGTTGATTCACTTTAGAGGTTGGTGGATGCTTCTGTCCTCCTGACTAGGCCACAGAGGGCTGAAAGTGGAGTAGACACTAGCCATTAGAAACGAGGAGCTGACTGTGCAGTTTGCTCAGAACGCTCAGAACAGAGAGGAATAGAAGCAAGTCTAAAGGTTTTTTAGTTGAAAAGAAATTGGAACCTGGTTCCTCTTGGTCTTCTGATTTTGATCCACAAAGAAGCTGACAAAGTTTACTTCTTTATGGGAAGGTAAGAGATTATATTTACCTGCTTTTAGAATACAGTCTTCTACTTTAGCAGTGTAAGAATTGAGCTTACTATAAAAAAATTTCAAGTACTACTTAAATAGTATAAGGTGTACATAGACAACATTTGTGTCTTACGTCCAAGGCAGACATAGAAATGTTAGCAGCTATACTGCTCAGTTTAACTCATTTTTTTTTCCAAAAAAAAAAAAAAAAAAAGCCTTGGCCTTGACATGTGATGCGAACTTTGTGTTGGTGCAAATGCACAGAACATTTTGTGCTTGCATGCCTCCTTTCCACAAATAAGGTAGAGATGAAGCTTTTCTTCCAAGTTATATAAAGCTTGCTCTTAGCAACGATAGAGGTCACCCTCCTGAAAGAAGGAAAGTAAACTAATTTTCACACAAACCAAGGGAGATGGGTGAGAAAATCCCATTTTGAGGTTCCTTCTAAGTTTGTAGACATTGTACATCCTGGGCCTGTGGCTATCTTTCTGCTTTGGGGCTTCTCTTAGGAGTTCGAGGGACACGGTTTCCCGTTATCCTGCTTTAGTTCATGGAGGACAAAGAAATATCCAAGCTTTGTATGTTATTAAGTCTTTTCTTGTAATTGTCTCCCTCCAGGTAACAACGGGCACCCTCAAGTTAGTACTTCTTGCACCCCCACCCAGTGTTTAGAAGTATCTAGTCTCCCTCAGCTAGTTCTTTTACAATTTTTACATCATAAACAACATTTGGTTTCTTTGAATATGGTCTTTTGCAAAGTTGATATTGAACTAAAATCAAGTTTCAGGGTGGTATATTTTCACTGAAACAAGGACTTAGGGGGAGTCTCTTTGGATAAAAGTATAAGCAGTCCCTGAGGATATCAGTACTGCCTGGATCATGAACGCTTTCGTACATTTGCAGAATTAGTCTCTTAAGTACTGGCTTTCTGTATTGTGACACCTTGGACTAAGGTGCCCTAGTGAGCCACTGTTTTGTTCTCCAGCCTCTCTGGAGGATGTGCACCTGCCCAATCCCTTAGCTTCCAAGTCTGCTTCAGGCCTGTTCCCCACTCTTGTGCCATCTCACCTTTGTACCCTTCTCAGTCTCGGCAGCAGTTGATACCTGCTTTCCTAAATTGTTAAATGAGTGCAAAAAACTTACAGTTTCTTTGTAAAAATTTTATTTTACCAATAATGTTGACATTTTGACATGTTTATCATCTTACACTTTTGCTGATCCATTTGAGGTATTTGCAGACATGGTGATTCTTTAAATCCTTCAGCATGTTTCTCCTAAACACAATGGCATTCTTTTTCATAACTAAAATATGGTGTCAGGAATTTAACATTAGTATAAAGCAATTATCTAGTACATGATATGTACTTAAAATCCCCCAATTGTTTCAGTGTCTTTTATAGCTTTTTAGCTGCTGGATGCAGGGGCCACTCAGGAGATGAGGTGTAGCAACTGTCTCTTAATCTAGTCCCTCAGACTTTTTAATCTTTCATACACAGACACTGGTGCAGTGTCCAGGCCAGCCCTTATGCACCATGAGCCTGCATAAGGATTTGTGGCAGCATGTTTGCTCACAGTGGAATGTTCTTGGTAGGAACAATTTCTGAACGACAGTCCCAGTGCACCACGTCAAGAGACATGCTGCCAGTTCTCCTTGAAGGGGTAATGGACAGTTGGATGGCATGGTTAAGGTGGTGTCTGCTAGGTTTCTCCATTAAAGGTATCCTTTTCCCTTTATAAACAAATGAATAAAAAACGATACAATACTTCATTCTTTCTTTTATTCAAGGTTTTTAGTGTAAGGGGATAATTCATACCTGAGTTAGTTTATTAGGGTGGATATAAATGGTGATTTTCCTATTTCTATCATTCTTGACAATTATTACTTGGTTTCTTTTCCATAGAAGACCTTTTCCTCAGGTCTTAAAAATTTTTTTTTAAAAATAATCATTTCAACTGATAGATCTTATTTTCAAAGTATTTTAGTTCATTCCTGTTATTATTTATTTTGATGCTCAAACTGTCCAGAATTTGGTCAATGGAATCTCCCATCAGTCTGGTACCTTTGTTAAACTTTTTTATTTGGCAGTAACTTCAAATTTATAGAAAATTGCTACGATACGAAGAACAAAAGACCACCCATAGATCCCTTACCCTGATAGACCTGTGATTAGCACTTTGTGCTGCCTGCACCGTCCTCTGCATGCTCTCTGTAACTTTTTCCCTAAACTCCTCAAAAGTACATTGTATCACTGTCCTTTACCCCTTTTCTAAACCACTCCAGAGTAAATTGTATATATCACCACCTTTACAGGTACTACAGTATATATTTCCCAGTCAGGGGTATTCTCTTGACATAACCAGTTACATTATTTAGCACATTTAATACATAGTATCTTTACCCAGTCAGCCATCTATATTCTGATTTTGTTTGCTGACCCAGTAATGTCTATTTTAGTGCTTTCCTTTTAGAGCAGGAGCCAATCTGGAAGCAGATACTGGCTTTAGGTACCAAGTCTCTATAAACTGTTCTGGATTTTCATAATCCTTGTCTTTTGACATTGATATTTTTTAAAGATATCTCTTCCCTTCCCCCACCCTACCTTTTTAGAAACAGCATTTCTCACTTGGGGCCTTTTGCCATTTCTTGCTGGTTGAATCCTGGGTGTGCATGCATTTCAGGACAGGGATAGTACATGATATGTGTCAGTCCCTCACATTTGGAGGCACACTATCTTGCTCTCAATGGTAGTGATTCTGATTTATCTGATAAAAAATAAATTGTGAACATCCTGTTTCTCAATACTCCCCGCTAGACTAGAATCCTTCTCTATTGATGGTTCTTGGTGGATGCAACCAGTCTTTAAGATGATGGTTACAAGACTGGTTTCTTTCCTTTTTTTTTTTTGTACTGGGGATCAAACTCAGGGCCTTGCGTTTGTGAGGCAGGTACAATGCCATTGAGCTAAAGATTGGCCTTCAAGATTGGTTTTCTAATCCAAACACCCCTCTCACATTTACCCAGTTGAATATCAGCATTCTACAGCATCTTTTCCCCATCTGTTTATTATGGGTATAAATTCATTACTTTCTCTTTCAGTGGCATTTGGTTAGTTTCTGTTCTTATTTTGGTGCTCAAATATCTCATATTCGGCCCAATGGGAATTTCTTTAAACTAGCTCTTGTGTCCTTTGACATGTTGAGGACTGCCTTTTGCTTTCTGGCATGAAATATTATCTATATTTCTGTATCTGCCTATATGTGTGTGTATAATGTATATACGCAAGGTACAAATTAAAACCTGAGTTCACACAGGTATCCAGTTCTAATCCACTTCAAGACTTGTTCTATTTTTATCTAAATTCCCTTCTCTGATATGAGAAACCTGGCTGCCATTATCCTTAATGTAGGACTTACTTGATCAAAGGGTCTGTGCATGATGAATTTCCCATCACTGTTGCTGCCTTTCCTGAAGGGAGCCCTACTGTTGGGACTCCCTGCACCCTGTATGGACACCTTTCTCATTATGCACATGCAAATATTCCAGAAAAAGTCTGACACATTTGATCCCAAGCATTTTGGAAATGGATACTCAACTTGTACTTTCTTTCTAGCATGTTTCTAGTAAGTAGAGTATGGCTCTGTTCTTGTCATTACATAGCTTGACACACTAACTGCAAGTGAGAAGAAAAAAGTAAAACCTTAGGTTCAATTATGACTAGAAAGCTAAACTTTTGCTGTATTTTTTTAGTGTTAAGCAAATGTTTCTTTTCCACCTACGTACACATAATCAATTTGGCATAAATGTTAATGTGATTAGGCTGCAATTAAGTTTTGAGGGGCTTTGTAAATAGGGAGCAGTGAAGGGGTGGAAGGGAAGGGGAATGGGGAAAAACAAGTACCTAGATATATCATGTACAGGTAAATTCCCAATGATGAATGTGATCATAATGTATACCTAAAATGTACCAATAAACTTAATGGAATGAAAAAGTGATGTAAATACAAGTTTTGAGGGGCTTTCTCAGTTGGGAGTATTACAAGGAAAATGACCAGGATACCTTACGTCAGAACGAAGTTGAAAAGCCGCTATTAGAACTCAAATAGGAAATGCCTTCTTACATTATCTGAAACTAGGAGGCATCTGTGCAGTTCTGTTCAGCTTCACTTACTTTTTAACCTATAAAATGTCCTAAGGAAAAATAAAATGAAAGGAGAAAGGGCATTCAAGATGCATCTAGAAAAAACTAGCGTTCTTCACAATGACAGTAAAAAATCATAGTTTGGAGGAACAAAGATTAGAGTTTAGAGGAGACTAAATACATATTAGAATCTGGAAGAACATGATTTTTCCCCAGGTGGAAACTGTCTAGAATTCTATACACTGAAACTTGAAAATAATCTCAAAGAAAGTGTTTTACACACTGGGGGTATGAGAAAGGCAGTACAGCCTGGGAGTTAAGAATGTGGACCCAGGCTACACTACCTCTGCCACCAACAAGCTGTTTGACCTTAGACGATTTATAGCTCCTTTACCTTGGTTTTCTCATCCGTTAAACCGGAATAATTGTTGTACTCATCTCAAGGTTGAGGATTAAATAGATTTAAAGTGCTTAGAAATGTGCCTGGTACATAGCCCTGTTTGCTTTTATCCTCATAGTATGTTCAGCCAGAAAACACAAAGATCCAAGTAGGATCTTGTTATTTTATTGTGTTGGTGGTACTAAGGATTAAACTCAGGGCCTTCACATTGAGTTACACCTGCAGCCCTTTTATGTTTTTTATTTTCAGAAAGGGTCTTGCTAAGTCACCAAGTTACCAAGGCTGGGCTTGAATTTATAAGCCTCCTGCCTTCGCTTCCCAGAGTGCTGGGATTGCAAGTGTGCAGCATCATGCCCAGCTCCAAGTAGTATTTTGACATTACCATAAATTTACAATGGATTAAGGAAAATGTGCAATTACCTGGTGTATGCTGACTTTTATTTTTTAGATTACAAAAGCTATCAAAACCCTCTTAGGTATTGCCACTCACAAACAGTAGATTTGGTGGATTACTGGTGAGGACAGAAATGTAAAAACATAAAGGTTGCTTTTTCATTAGAAACTGAGAAATACCAGCTTATTCATTTACAGTGAGCACTAAGTGTTTGATTGCCTCATATAATATGCAGTGTGCACTTTTAAAATGTCATTGCCTTAAGCTGTTTTTCAAAGCATCCAACATACATTTTTGTAGAATGACTCCAAAATGATGTAGCACAAAAAGCGCCAGACATTGGAATAACGGGGTTCATATACTATCTTTGCTGAGTTTCTCTGCCTGCAAAAAACTGAAGTTTTTAAACCTGTTTCTTCCTTGCTCTTAATATTCTGATTTTTATCTTTGGGTTTTACTTTAATTATTGACAACTCCTATCCTAAAATAACGGTCTCATAAAATAAATAGACTGAAGATCACTTGCACAAGCAGTTTTTTAGATGAAAATACATCAGCATATGGTGCTAGAGTTCTTGGCTTTCTAAGTTTGATTAGCAAACTTTGACTTGCCTCTTACAGAAGTGGCTCCGGACTTATATAAATATGGAACTTAAAAAGAGCCCTTTTTTTCTCATCTCAGCCAATTCCCGCTTTCCTGATATGGCACCCTGTTTTCTCTTGTGTGATACTTCTAATCCACATACCTGTCTCTGAATTTCTCCAACAATGACTATTTCTGAGGCCAAGCAGGTGAGGTAGGAAAGAAAGCTTGCCTAGTTTGTGTGATCAACTTTTATTATAAAATTAAACCATATATTAAATATACACATAAATATGACGGAAAGCCTGAGTGGATTTATTTTTGGATTCCATTGAAAATCTTTGATTTTTCCCTTAGAATTGCGACGAGCGGTAAGAAGCAGTGTGTGGAAAAGAGAAACGATTGCACATCAACACGAATATGGACCAGAAGAAAACTTAGAAGATGACATGTATCGCAAGACTTGTACTGTGTGTGGCCATGAACTGACATATGAAAAAATGTGATTTTTTTAGTTCAGTCACTTTTGAAACAAGATTTTTATATTTAAATAAAGTAGATTGCCCCTGTTCAAAATCTACCACAGTATAAGTAATGCTTCAGTAGAAACTGTGGTTATGGCTCAAGAGCAAATTTCAGTTACAGTCTAGCTGGTCTGGTTAGGTAGAATGTCAAGGCTATGGGAGTTGAATGGTAGGTAGATTCATAAGTAGAATAAATTCATTCATAAGTAATTCATAAATTAAGGAATAAGAGTCCAAAATAAATCCTAGATTGGGGCAGGAGGGAGAGCTTTCAACAAAGGTCAAAGCTGACTGGATTGGTCTCAACCAAAGGAAAAAACAGGGATGATGATATATCACTATATCAGAGTCTGGGTCAGGTTTTAAAGAACTACTTTGATCTTCAAGACAGAGGCGGTTGTGGGGAGCTACTGTTAGAAAATGTCCTGACACATAATAAGAATAAACAATGAGTTGTAGGAATTTCATGATATTTTCTATACCCCGAGGGGCCTGCTACTACAGGGTTGCACATTAATGGTTGGATAATTCTTCCCAAATGCTGAATCAAAATGGAAAACAGCATTTTTCAAGGTTCAGTATCTGTTGATCAAAGCTATTGAGTTTATCTTCACTACTTCTCTAAGTGTCTTACAGGTATTCTCATTTAATCCTGGGAGGGAAGAAAACTTGCTTCCATGTTCATTTAGGGAGGGAAGTGACACTCTGAACTTTATCCCAGGCACTAGGATCAAGTTTAGTTTGTCAGATTTTCCCTGACTCTTCTCAAAAGGATTACCAACTAATTTGACTACTGGGTCTGTCCAGCATTATTTTAATAGAAGTTCAGTTTGAGGTAAACTGAGTATTTTCAACTTGTAGTTTGACATGACCTTTTTTACTACTACAAATAGAGTAAAAAGTATATGCATTTTCACTTTTCTCTCTAAACTAGATTGCACTTGGGGAAAGGCCAAAGTCAAGTCAAATCCAAGTTATTAGGCACTTGAGATTATAACTTATCTATGTAAGTCCCTAACAGAAATTTTTAATGTATTCAAGTATTAATTTTTAAGTATGTGCAATGCTAAACATTATAGCTTGGTAAAAGCTGATACTCAATGGGCAGCAAGTTTCTAGGCTTCTGATAACAAAATAACTTGGGGTTCTAAATCTCTCACCATGTACTAAACTAAAATCAAAACTGATCAAAGATCTAAATACTAAAACAATTTGCTGGAAGACAGAATAGGTAAAACTCTTGAAGACAGGGGTAGGCAAAGACTTTATGAACAAAACTCCCAAGTGCACAGGAAAAAAAAAAAATCACAAAGAATCAAGAACTGGGATCTCATCATATTAAAAAGCTTCCGCATAGCAAAAGAAGCCACCAGCAGAGTGAAGAGACAACCCAGAGTGGGAAAAATTTTTTTACCAGCTAATCCTCAAAGGACTAATATCTAGAATATATAAAGAACTCAAAAAAATCAGACCCCTCAAATTTGAAGACCCAATCCAAAAATGGGCCTCTGAAATAGACACTTCCCAGATGAAGTACAAACAGCAAATAAATATATGAAAAACTATTCAACATCAGTGGTCATTTGAAAAATGCAAATTACAACAACAATGAGATTCCATTTTCCAGAAAGAATGGCACTCATCAAGAAATCAATAACAAATGCTGGCGAGACTGTGGGGAAAAAGGAACCCTTCACTGTTGATGGGAGTGTAAACTGGTCCAATTAATTTCTGTATTTTCAATATGGAAACCAGCATGGATATTCTTCAAAAAAGTAAAACTAGAGGTTCCTTTTGACCCAGCTGATCCCCTTCTTGCTATCTTCCTGAAAGAGTTAAAAGCATCGTACCACAGTGATATATGTACTTCCATGTTTATAGGTGCACGATTTGTAATAGCTAGATTTTGGAAACAGCCCATATGCCCATCAATGGATGAATGGATAAAGAAAATATAGTTTTTTTTGGTACCGGGGATCGAACTCGGGTCCTTGCGCTTGCGCAGCAGGCGGCGAAACCACTGAGCTAAATCCCCGGCCCAGAAAATATAGTTTTAATATACAGTGGAGTACTACTCTGCCATCAAGAAGGATAAATGCGAGACTTTTAAAAGTAAATGGATTGGGCCGGGGATTTAGCTCAGTGGTTTCGCCGCCTGCTGCGCAAGCGCAAGGACCCGAGTTCGATCCCCGGTACCAAAAAAACAAAACCAAACCAAAAAAGTAAATGGATGGACCTTGAGACCATACTTTCAAGTGAAATAAATTGGACATATATATTTAAATACCGCATTGTTTCTCTTGTGTGAGAAACCAAAAGGGTAAACAGGTCCAAAATGGATGATAGATATTGGGAAGTAGTAAGAAAAATTTCAAATGGGAAGGGGAACAAGGGCAAGTTAGTGAAACCCGGTCTCAAAATATTTAAAAATATTTTTTAAAAGGGTAGAGGTGAGTATCTCAGCACTCTCTGGGTTTAATCCTCAGTGCTACACACAGGAAGGGAGTGAGAGAGGAAGGACTAAATTATCCTGGTAAAATCGAACTAGAAATGCTCATTTTTATAGTTCCAAGTGGAAGAAAATGGTGAGTGTAAAAAGAAGTAAATAAATAAAAAATAACTTGGGGTTTTGGCTGCTGCTTAAGAGCACATTACTCCATCATGGGCGATAACAAGAAATCTCAGTTCAGATTCCATTTCTTGGCTATGAGCCTTGTGCAGTTTCTCCATGCTTTAAAGTGGCTATAACTCTCTCAGAGGAATGTTGTAAGGATTTAATATCATAGAACTAGCAACTGGTATGTTAATACTAGTAAGCACTACTGTCAAGGCCAACACAGATCTATTTGAGGTCTGCTTCTGTGCTCGCTTTGGCAGCACATTTACTAATTTACTCTTTACCTTCCTCAATTTAAGATAATCCCAGTATCCAGATATCCCTGACGGCCCAATCTGCTCTAGCCAGGTTGGCAAGGCCTCCTCATCTTCCATTTTCAGATATAATTATAGATTAGGAAAATAGTATATGTTCACTTTGACAAAAGCATGTTAAATGGCACCAGTGCAATTTAACAGGAAGTTGATTTATTGCCAGGTATGATGTACAGTGACATGCCTTCCTTTTGAATGTGTAACTTCATTAGTGGGGAGAGCAACTACTGAATGTTTGCTCTTGGGCCTTTATTTCTTCAAATACCTAGTTCAGTTTTTCCATACACCTAGCTGCCAGATTAAGAGAAGAGTCACATCAATGAAGTTTTAAGAACCAACCATTACACATGAAGAGAGGATCAAGAGAAAATAAAATCTACGAATTTCTCTACAATGTGGATGAAGTGTAAGTAGCCAAACTTTGCTAAGCATTATGAAAGTATTACAAAGCAGTTTTAAGAATTAAAAGTACCAATGTCTTAAGTGCTTATCCTTTGGTTTCCTAAGTACAGGAGCCATTTCAAACCAATTACACAGTGTGTGCTGTGTTTAAGACATGGGAAGGAAGAACAGTGTAAATAAGAATATTTAGCTAAGAACATGGGGTTAGTCCTCTTTCTGCTAATAATCTGCCGTGCAATCTTCATCTATTGAATAATTATTTCCTGCCTTGTATGATACTTCAAAGTCCTTAGAATTTGCACCTATTGAGTGGACTATGTTCTGTAGCCACTAAAATTAGGAAAAACCAGAGACCACCTATCAAAACATGGAAAATGTTCAATGCATCATAAACTTACAATGTAGTAAGTAGAAAAAAGACACTAGTACAAGAAATTACAACAGTAATTATAGAATTATTAGTAAAATTTTCTGTTTAGTGAAAAAAAGTCTTAAAAATCCTAGAAATTTGAAATGTCAAATAATTCCTTATTATTTTACAAAAGGCTCTCACTTATGCCTCAATACTACATAAGGAAGACCCTCAGGAATTTGTTGTTTGAACCAGGATCCAGAGACAAAACCAAAACTCACCTCTAATTCCAAGTACAGTTTTAACGAACCTACCTACTTCTAGTTCTACTTTAGCATGTAGCTTACTTGATAATCTCGGACAAATCCTTCTCAGAAGCCATGGAAAATGACCAGAGGTTCTCAGTCTAAGATAATGGTTTCCCAACCAGGGAATCACTTGGGAAGCTGTAACAACTGATGTCTATGTGCTACCTGTAGAGACTGTGGTTTTAAGTTTTAAAATGACTAAAGATTCCCAGGTGATTTATGTTTAGATAAACTTGGCATTCACCAAACAGTAACACCTTCATATACAGTGGTACTTCATTTCATGAACTTCATTCTTTCCACAATTCTAGTCACAAAAGTAACTTGTGAACCGAACCAAATTTTTCCATAAGGTCTACATTGAACCTATCCACTGAATTGGATTCAGTTCTTGTCTAATTCAGTCTGTGACAGAATCATGGAAAGGATGAAGTTCGTAAACTGAGGTACCACTGTACTAAGCAGTGTCTTAAGATCCTAAAGAAAAATATTTTGAAGTGAAAATTTCAAATGGAAGTATGTATGTCTTCAGTAAGAAACCACCAATTTTAAAAATAGAGTAAGATGATAAAATCATAAAATACCAAAGTTTAAAAAAACATATTTTTAGTTTTATTTCAGTCATATTAGGTTATCCATGAGCTGTGAAAAGCTATGCTATCTGGTAATAAGCTCATCAGTTCTACTTACTATTTCATATGCTTGACCTATACTTTTACTACCTCAAACCTGTTGTTTTGTGCCTTAAAGAGGAAAAAATACCAAACTAATCACAAAAAAGTTGTATCTGTCACATATATAATACACCATGGTCATCGTCACATTGTCATGAAGAGATATTTGCTTTTTAGGGGAAATTAAAGATAATGCTGTATTCTTCACTGTCCTCATTTCCTTTAAGAAGTAAAGGCTATTACAAGAAAGCAAGCATTCAAACCATCAAAAAATAAGACAAATTATTTTTTAAAAATCCAGATACGAAGAAAATAAAAATGACCCTTAGGCCTGCAGCGCACAGAACTGCTGGAATACAGCCAGGATATGAGGGTCTAATTCGGCAGTGAAGAGAAGATTCTCTAGGGTCACCATGTACTGCTGGATTATCTGGTGATGCTGCAGACACAGAAAAGGGGTGTGTAGGTCAGGAAAAGGAGAGTGAATGATCAAGTACAGCATTTCCCTCAGCAGCCCACCCACACTATGAATAGTTCATAAGAGACACCAGGGGGAAATGGAGAAAAAAGGGATGTTCAATAACATTCAATCACTTTTTAAAAATCTAGTTCTTACACAGACATGATGGTGCACGTCCGTAACCTCAGCACTCTGGGAGGCTGAGGCTGTGGTAGGAGGATCACAAGTTCAAGCCTAGCCTGCGTAACTTAGACCCTGCCTTAAAATGGGAAGAAAAGGGGAAGGGGCTGGGGGGCAGGTGGCAGGCATTCTTGTCAGCTTCTAGGTAAATGCAA